AGAAACTTAAAAAGACAACTATAAAAATACATCAGAATACATATAAATACGTATAAATACAACTGAATACATGAATAATACAGATGAATTTCATCAGAAAATTACCTTTTCTTCAACTTTATCTGAGGTTTTAAATGCTTCAACCTCCTTCCCCTTGACAGATGAAGCTTCAGAGATATGGTTTTTCCTCTTTTCCCGAATGGGAAGTGTTGTCTCCTTCATTGATTTCTCGACTTTATCATGTCGAGCTTTTGTTCTCTTCTCCAAATCAATATCTTTGGCTAAACCTGCGTCCAATTCACCTTGAGTGATTTGCAAGGAGAAAGAGGTCCCATCGAAATTGAGAAGTTTAGTGGGTATACCTCTAGTAATCAACTTGTGGGATGTATTCTCAGACATTGTAACAATACGACTTGGGTACTGTTGATTAGATACAATTTGGTTAGTCGAGAGGTTGAGAACAAGCAAAAATGGCGAAAAATCAAAAAAAAAAATATGCTAACCACACTACTTATAGAAACAAGCCAGTACAATGTAGATGAAGCGTTAGAGTTTACCCGAGAATGGGGAAGGAGGAAGCTGCGTTGTGAATGAGAGCAATATAATTTCAATCGTGATTACAGGGGATTTGGAAGTATCAATTTAGAGAGAAGGGGGAAAACTTGTATTGAGAAGTTGTATGTAAAAAGGTATCTATGAGAGAGAGAATCTGAGAATGGAGATAGGGAAATTAAACATTGCGTGTATAATGGCTTAAGTGTAGGAGATACCCAAAATTAGAATCTTTGCTATAAATCATATAACATATCTATAAGATGTAATTTATTGAAATGGTATTTATTTTAAATAAATAGGGGGTTAACCTATTCTATAGGAAGTAAAAATTCCTTCATTATTTGGAGGTTGCAATATTATCTGATCCTACGTAAAAAAGGCCATGTAAGCTTTAGCAGCTAATCATAATTAATCTTGTAACTTTAAACCTTCTTTATTAAATTACTGTCTTGCTTCATCTTTTTTTCTTGGTTACGTTGTTCCAAATTTATGTCCACTTAGGGTGTGTTTGGTATAACGGAAATGATTTCCGAGAAAATATTTTCTTAGAAAATAAGTAGTAATTTTACTTATTTTTCGGCGTTTGGTACGCAAATTAAGGAAAATAACTTCTCAAGAGTATTCAAAAATAATTCCGAACTCATAACTTTGACACTTGTAAAATTTCGAAACTGTAAACCGAAAGATAAAAAAACTAAAATTGAAAATATATATAAAAAAAAAACTTATTTTTTTCCCCGGGGGGGGGGGGGGGGGAGAGGGTGGTGCAGAAAAATAAAAAAACAGAAATTTGAAAATTAAAAAAAAGTTAAAAAAAAACTTTTTTAGTGCGGAGTGGGGTGGGGTGGGTGGTGCAGAAAACGAAAAACATAAATTTGAAATTACAAAAGAAATATTAATTTTTTTTGCGGGTAGGGGAGGGGTAAGAGGGTGGATGGTGACGGAAAAAAATGAAATTTAAAAAAAAAAACGAAAGCCTTTTTGGAAGAGAGAAGGTGGGTGGTAGGCGTGCGGTGGGGTTGGGTGGGTAGGTGTGGGGTATGAGGTAGGTTGGTGAGGGTGGGAAGGTTCAGAAGGAGTTTTGGAAAATGTTTTCCCTTCTCTTGACATTTTCCTCCGGTCACAATTTTTCGTTCAAGAGCTTTCACCTTGTTTGTTCTTTCGCTTTTTTCCTCGGTATTTTTTAAATTCTGAGCAAAAAGAGACAACGACCTACACAAGTAGTCACAGAGCCACATGTATTGAAGGGGTGTCCTTGGAAAATTGTACTTTATAGCTAGATAAATTTCTTTTATTATGTATATATACTATATATTGATATCTCTTGACTTATTCGTGAATTTATATCTTTATATATTGACCTTATTTAGTGAAAATTCTGATGCCACCACCGTAAAAAAGAACCATGGGAACTACTTTTATATGGGAATAGTTAAAACTAGTCAAAAAAAGTTTATCTACGTAGGATTTGTTGTACTCACTTCCAGTTACTTGGTGTTTTGAGAGAAAAAATAATAACAGGAGTAATAAACTTACAAATTACCCGAAACTGCTGATTTCAACAGTCAAAGAGTCACCAAACAAAGAAGAGCATTGTTTCACCAAAGAAATAATATTTTGGATAAAACTAGAATTTGAGATGAAAAATCGGGTTACTGATAATCAAGAGACAAAAAAAATTAATAATAGGCTTTCTGAGAATAATAATAAAGCAGTAAACAAATTTTTTATTTCAGTATGATGTCAATGATCCCCTTTTCCAAATACAACTTCCTCCTTTTGTAGTTGATTCTAGGTAAAGGAATAAAACCTAAGCTTTAATGAGACAATTATGGACAATAAATGACATTGAATGAGCTGTTACACAATCATTCCTATTAAATACCAATTTTCTAACGTATCAGGTATTTAATACTGAATTTAGACTCCTTTTTGTCTTCAGATTCATGTCTTCAATGCCTTTCGACCCACTGGCTTTAAATGACTTTGAATTGGTACGAGACTCGTGTCTAAACTGCTTCTCGTGCCTATTTCACTTCTTCTTCCCGTACCTGTCATTTCCCGTACCTTTTTCCCAATTGTTACGCTTTGACCACTTGTCCAGTCCACGTGTCACGCCACGTCATCTTCAATATAAATTCAACTTTTTTCCCAATACAACACAAGACTAGGTGAACAAATTCAATGGGGAAACAATATTATTGCATAAAAATGATCAAGAGTGACTTACCTCAAGAAACCCCTCGAAATCCCTCTCAAAAATCGCCTTAGTCGAGTTTACAAAGTCCAAAATGATTAGAAATAACGAAAACCCTCGAATTTTAAAACACCGCCCAGGCATTTCCGCACAGTGGAGCCTGGGCTCGCACCTGCGCTCCGCTCTTTTGCGGAGAAAAACTTGCTTATGCAAAAATTCCACTTAATACGAGATATGTAGCACCTCAGCATAACACCATAAGTTAAAATTCGATCCGTTAAACATCCGAAATCCACCTGAGGCCATTGGGACCTCAATAAAATATACCAAACAAGTCCTAAACACGATACGAGCTTAGTCCGAGGCCTTAAATCATATCAAAAACACGAATTTCACCTCAATTCAAGCCTAACAAAAACTAAGAAAATCTAACTTCTACAATCGATGCCGAAACCTATCAAATCAACTCGATTAATCTCAAATTTTGCACACAAGTCATATAATGACGCAACGGACCAATTCCAACTCCCGGAACCAAAATTCGAGCCGGTAAACCAAAAAGTCAACTCTCGGTCAAACTTCTCAATTTTCAAAACTTCTAATTTTCAAACTTTCGCCATTTTAAGCCAAAAAAAACTACGTACCTCCAAATCACTATCCGGACACACTCTTAAGTCCAAAATCACCATACGGAGCTAGTGTAACCATCAAAACTCTATTCTGGAGTCGTTTAACATATAATTCAACATCCGATCAACACTTTTCAACTTAAGCTCCCAACCTTGAGACTAAGTGTCTCAACTCATTCCGAAATATTCTGAAACCAAACCAACTACTCAACTAGTCAACATAATAGCAATTGAGCATAGAATAAGCAGTAAATGGAGAGAATGGCCTACAACACTCAAAAGACCGGCCGGATCGTTACACTTAAACTCCAGGTATTCCGTCTTAGAAAAAAAGGGGAAGAAAGAAAAAGGTGGAGAGAGAGGGTTCTTACCTGGTCTGCTTGTCTCGTCGGTGTCGCCGTTGGGTGGGTTTACTGATAGAAATAACCGTTAAACTTAGGAGTCGATGAGAGAAGAGAGCGGGTAGGAGCCTTAAAGTATTAAGTAATATAGAATGAATTTCATATTTGTTGGATGATTTTTTGATATATTTAAATCATCTTGAAAGAATAAAGTACTTTTTATTTTTATTTTTATATTTTTACCTAAATAAAATAAAAAATTTAGTTATTGTCTCTAATAATAAATAGCCATAGTTATTTATCTACTTATATAATATTAACTATTAACCACATTCTTCTTGTCCTTATTCGTAATTTGATACTTAAAAGCACTTTTTGAAAATTTTTGCCAAACATAAATTGTTACTCAAAAAGTGCTTTTTAATTTGATTAGCCAAACAACATATTATTTTTCTCCAAAAGTACTTTTTGAAGGAAAAAATACTTCTCAAAATAAGCTTATTTTCCAAACATGCTATTAATCGAAGCACAAAATAACATGAAGCATTCAGCTCAATTTGAAGTAGGGGACTAGGTATTTCTTAGTTACAACATTACTAACAAAGCTCTGTAGTAGTGCGAAGGAATCTGAAATTGTGCATGAAATTCAAAAATAATCAGATTTACAAGTGGTAATTAATAAAGAGCACAATTTTAAAAGTAATTGTAATTTAGCCACTTTTCATGTAAAGATAAATCTGAATGAAAACACTGTTTAAAATCTAGAAAATATTCCAGCATAATATACTGGAATTCCAGTATAATATACTGGTCCAGCATAATATGCTGAAAGTTCATAAACAGGTGCTCGTGTTGCACCAAAATAAAGGCTATTTTTCAATAACTTTACAAATGCTGGCTATTTTTTAATGACCAGTCCGAAAACTAGCTAGCCCGTGCTATTTTCACGAAGTTGTCGGTGAGGTTCTTCGGTGATCCGTAAAATTTGGTTCAGAATTGTTAGTCGGTGTCGAAGATCCATCCGTATTTCATGTATCTCACTTGAAGAAGGATAAGATCCAGACCCTCCGTATTGCGCAGGTGATGGATGAATACTGAAAGCAAATTTGTAGCGTCGAATGGTCAAAAAGAGAATCGTGCATAAATTAAGCAAAAGAATACAGATGAGAGGAACTAAATTCACTAAGATGTTTCATTAATCAAAAGAAGAAGGGAATAGCAAAATAAGCTCATATTTATTTATGATATTAATTAACAATATAAACTATGCTAATCAACCTAAAATTTGTATATAAGGTCCTTGTATGGTTCCTCATCTTCAGAGTAGTGATTGATCTCAGCCTGCAAACCATAAAACCAAGCTCAATCAGAAACACTTTAAACTACGATTAAAGCTCAATATACCGACCCTTCCGTCAAAATTTTATTTTTTTTCAGTACTGCAATTGCTAATTTACACAGAAAAAGAAAAGTTAAAGCGTGTTGCTGCTGTTGTTAAGATAACCTTTAGTGCTAGAGAACTTTCCAATTTATTTGAACATTGGAATGAAACTGGATAGTGAGCACTCATGCTTGGGATTGAGGCGTAATAGTTCTTATCAAAAAGTTTGTAGTACGTTACTTATGTAATGACAATTCATCAGGTCACCTAAAAGATAATTATAAGTGAATGTCTATGAAAAGTGAAATTAGAATAACCTAGAAAATAAAACAAGTAACCTGCTACAACATGTTACAAAGCACTGATAGTTTATAATTGCTTTTACGCACACTAGGAAAAATGACATTGTATAGCCGCTGTAAAGATAATAGCCGAAAAATATATAAAATTTGTATATTTTTGTATATATAATATATATATATATATATATATATATATATATATATATATATATATATATATATATATATATATATTATATTATACTA